CCCCTCTGCTCCCCGCAGCGGGGATCCTCCGGGAGACGGGGTTCCGCGGCCCTTAAGCCGCGTCTGCGGGGCTGCAGGGCGGGGATTGGGAGCTCTCCCTCGGTGCAGGCCCTGTTCTTCGGAGGAGCTTCCCTGCCGGGCGCCGCCGGTGGGAAACTGCTCCGCGGGCACCGTGCTCTGCTCGGGAGCCTGGCTTTTCCCCTAAGGACAAGACTGTGAGGAAATAGGTGGTTTGGCTTTTTCGGAAGTGGTGTGTCTCTGTGCTTCATGCTGGTTTTGGCTGAGAATGATCAGTATCCGTGAGAGCAGGGCTTGACTTGTTTAATTGAAGTTAGCTGAAGGCTTTTAAGGTGAGCAGCTGGGAGTAAAAGTAATGACTGTGTAATTGCTTGGATGCTGAAAGACTGCTTCCCCTGCCAGATGTGCTGACTTCACTAGACCGCTGGATTAATGCACTCTATCCGTGTTTCTCTAACTAATGTAAATTCTGACGGTGGGGTTTGGTCTGATGTCTTCTAGGTCATGCTTTTCAATAAACAAACTCCTAACTTCATTTGAATACAGGCTATTTATTCCTTGTTTGCCCAGATTGAAGGCTTGCAAATGAAACAACAAAGTAATTATATATATGGATATATATATATGTAATTCTACATGTGTATATCTGTTTTAAACTTTGTTTTTATCCTTTTTACTTTGTGTTTATTGTAGTTGGCACTCTCGAAACCCTGGAAAGCATGTAAATGTTGGGGTGGTTTTTTATTGGGTATGGGGTTTGGAGTTTTTTTTTTTTTGAGGGGTGAGGTGTTTGGAGTTAAATGAGTTATATATGGTCTTCAGAAAAATATGATGTTCTGTAGGAAGCACTGCTGTGGGAAAGGAATTCAGCAGTTCTAATTCTAGGTACTATGTTATGATTGAGCTGGAAAAGTCATTTCATGTAAATGAGTGAGAATGGAAGGATGAACACGCTCTTATAAGGCAGAAGTTGTCGTAGCTAACTAATTGTCTTGCTTTGTGTTCAGGTTCAGTGTGGTGACTTCCCTCATCTGTTGGTGTATGGACCGTCAGGAGCTGGAAAAAAGACAAGAATAACCTGTTTGTTAAGGGAATTGTATGGTGCAGGAGTGGAAAAACTGAGGATTGAGCATCAGAGTATAACGGTAAAAAAATAAATCTCCTATTTTCTGAAAAGTAATGTGGATATTTGTATACTGATGTATTTCTGCTGTGGGGCATATATATTTAGTTGAGTTTTATAAATAATTTTTTTTTTGCACTCAGTGTTTTCAATCTCTTTTATGTAATTAGTTAGACTGGTTTGGTTACATGAACAAACACTTTTGCCAGATATTCTTTTTCCTTAGATCCTCATGAGTAGGAGGGTGTGGGTGTTTTTTGTTGTTTTCTGTGGCTGGTTGGTTGTTTTTGTGTTGTGTTTGTTTTGGATTTTGTTTTGTTTTGGGTTTTTTTACAGGTCAGTTTGGACAGTAGCATGTGTTGTAATAGACTAACTCTCAATTATATGCATAGAATTTCATTTGTCTGTAAAAATAACCCTAATTTTTAAAATTATTAGCACTGTTTTTTGGCATATATGCAAATTTTAACTTCTCATTCCCATAGTGACAATTTCAGCATTAGCAAAAAAAACCTTATTTAAATTCTGTCTGCCTTGGTCTTAGTCATTTACTTGATTATCATTAAAATGTTATGTTTATTCATTCAAAATCCATGTTATTGAAGGCTTAGCCAGAAAGCTTTATTGATAAGTAGGTTGTTTAATGCTTGCTTTTTAATTCTGAGTAGTGGAACAAATATAACACTTGCAGTGGATGGTAGAAATATAGGATATTTTTAACTGTTCAGACCCAAATTCAGTGGTGATATAAATACTAGTGTTTTCTTTGAACAAAGTGTAGACTTTAAATTCTTTTCCAAGAGAAGTAAACAGTCTCTTCAGACTTGTACAGAGGGTTTCCCTCCAAAACTTTAATTTGGAGGGACAAGGTATCACTTATTTTGAACAGCTGATTCTAATAACAAGATTTCTTGTTGTGAAACTCAGTAACTGGAGTATGCAGAAATATGTGCTCTGTTTTACTCTAAGAATCATTGCTGTTATTATTTTACAGGCTGGATGATGTCTCAGTACTCCTCCTTTGGAGGTGGGGTTGTGGGGGTATGAGAAGCATTAGTCTAGTGTCTCAACAGTTCTTTGATCTTTGAGACTTTTGGTTTGCCTGTGATCCAGCCAGTTGTAACCTGTAAGATAATTTTTTTAATCAGATTTTTATAACAATTTAATGTGCTTGCTTTCTACGTAGGCACCTTCTAAAAAGAAAATTGAAATCAGCACCATTGCAAGTAATTATCACCTTGAAGTTAACCCAAGGTAAGCGTACAGTAAAAATGTCGCACTTCAAATGTAAGCCACTAGTCATATTGCAAGTGGTTTCAACCTGGGTATATAAGGGCCTGGTTGCCCAATTTATTGCCTGAGCAAATCAGATAATGGTTTATGGGTTTTGACTGCAAATGGGAGCAAGGAGGTGATTTTTAATTGTACAGCTCTATAAATGAACAGAAATTTAGAGTGGTGTATACTAAGACAGTAATGTTTTGCTTAGCTAGTCGCATAAGCATGCTGATGTTGAGGACTGGGTAACAGAAACAATTCTGTATTCGTAGACTTAACCATTTAAATTGAAATTTAGAACTTTTATTGGAACCAACACCCCCATATTGTTAGTTCTCTCACAAATACAAAAATGAAGTGATTTGAAGGTAAGCGAGGTTTACCCAGTAACTCTTAAAGAGTTTACCACACAGGGAAGAATACCACCACAAAATACAGGGAATCCTGTCATGAGCAAGGTCAAATGTTGATTTAAATGATAGAGGCTATAATGGTGTACTGGATGTCCTCTTTGGCAGTTGTGAAATTGCTGGTGATAGTTCACTGTCCCAAAGTAAATAATTGTATTTACCTGAAACCTTCGATGTTGCTTTAAATCACATGAGAGTAAATGTCATTGTGAACTGGGAGTCTTTGGCTATGTTGGCTTTGTTGTCTGAGTTGCAATTATAAGATAACGTGTATCCTGAAGTAACTTTTAGCTTTGAGCTTGTTGCTAAACCTTTTCTCATGTTGCTCTGCATTTTAGAAGCTATTCTCATGTACCATGTCTTCTTTAAGAGCTTGTTCGGCAGCTAGTCTCTGTGCATTGGTTAGTGAATATCTGCTGGTATTCCAATACAGACCAAAAGAATTAAAGCTGATACTTCTATTGGTAATTATCTGTTTTAATATGTCACTTTGGTGATATAAAATGTTTGACTGTTCAGTCAACTGCTCTGATAACCCAACGTTACTGCTACTTATATTACTCTCCATGGAGTACTTTTAGTTTGAAACATATAATTGTATCTTACTTTAAATATAAAAATCCTGACAATGTAGAACTGCTGTATTGTTTATTAGATATAATAGTAGTGCTGAGTTTTGATTAAGAATTAATATATTGATTCATAGGCTTTTTTTGTCATGTTTATGTCTGACCAGACGGTGAAACTGTATGTGCTTTGTTAGAGTCTGTGAAGTTTGATTACATTATAATACTGTGAATTCATGTTGTGCATCTTGAGTAACATGAAACATGATAAATGGCTAACAAGGAAAGGAAATTAACTTGGGAAGGACTCTGCAGACATTGAATTTATTATGGAACTTTATTAGATAGACCTGTTCTTTTTCCCCAAAAGGAGGATATTGTCTGAATTCCAAAGTATTGTCTGTTCACTTAACTAGCTTGGATAGGTGCTCTAAAATGGGTTCTCCTGAGTAAGTGGGTAATGAAAGAGCAAGGAACAACAAAAATTGAGCATTTGTGTGGTAACTGCCTTGGTTCATTGTTTTCCTGGAGTGTTTGGTGTGGTCACATAGTATCAAGGATAGTCTTTCACCATGAAATTATAACTCCGGGTTCTCTGTTACTGCAGAGAATAATTTATCTTTAAATGTTAGGAAACTATTTTAGTCACTTTCCATTTCCAAAAACTGGCCTACCTTGTAAGTAGAACTGGCTTGTTTCATTTTGGTTTTTACGCTGTCTGCTTCCTTTTGAAGGACAGATCTCTGCAGTCAAAGTCAGTGTAGCCAGTT